TGTTCCAGCATGGTCTTTTAGCTCAAACCCTAATACTCTTCCTGAACTTGCTCTTTGTTTTTATTTGTTTGCTGGTGTGTGTGGTTTTTTTCTTAATTAGCTAGTGAGAAATTGTGTTGATGGTGAAGGGGATTGAAGATTGCTATGTAGGCATCAAAGTCACTAGAAGTTTCTATATGCTTACCTAGATTTTGGCCATTAATCTTTAAATCAGTGATCTTGGGTGCTTGGTGTTATCCCCATCATTGTAGAAACAGGTATCCAAAGTTTTCTTCTGAATCATTCTTTAAGAGGTAGAATTTTAGGTCTTTTCACTGGTCATAAACTACAGTTTTCACAATATGAGACAATCAGCTACACCAGCAGGTTCATGTCTACATACACGTTAAAAGGCCCCTTTCATTCTACTCTTAATCTTGGAACATGGTTCTTCTTGCATGTAGAAGAGAAATGTACACAAAAAACCAAAGGCTTTTTGTTGCTTTTACTTGATGTTCTAACTTCATTCTTTTGATTTTATTTTTGTTTCATAATATACTATCCGATGTTTTAATTTCAAGGAGGGAAACACAGCATTGCATCTCGCAGCCAAAAATGGTCACGATGAAGTTGTAGGAATTCTGCTTGAACAGTGGGGGGAAATAGATGACCTCAATGAGGTAAGGATACAGAATTTACTGAAATATATAAAGTTAGATATTTGAAAGATCAACTAAAAAATAAAATTTTAAAGAAATAAATATTGCACTGAGTAGACTTCATTAGTTCTGCTGTTTTTCCAATACCTTTGCATCCTGTTTTGTCGTAACTCCTCCAATAAATCCAGCTCCATTAACTCCTTTACTGTCTCTTCCTCTGTCCTTTTTTTCTCATACAATGGCCTCCCCTCCATCTCATATGCCCTTGCGTAACTACTGGTAGAAAGAAACAGTGGAGAGCCTAACCTCCACCTTGCTTCCTATCCTCCAACATTTCTGGCCATGTAATCCCATTCCTTTTACCATTTCTAGTGCTTCTTAGGCTATTCACTGAGGCAGTTCATTGTGCACCCCCAGCACATACCATCACAGACATCTCGGCAGAGAGGTCTCAGGTTTGTACCTTGATCATCTGATCTCAAGATCAAAGCACAGAACTGGTAGCTGACACTGCCTACCCAGTTTTCCTTTCCTGATGAGCTTTTCTTTCAGCGCTGGTGAGCTCAGCTCAGCCAGCACATTCATAAATTGCACAGTAGCTGTGAAAATTGTATCCCTGATCTGATGCACTCATAAACTTAATTTTTGAGGCTTAAAATAGGGGTGAAGGAGACAAATGCACAGTAACTACTCAACTGAGCTTTCCAGCTTTGCAAAGAATTCTTGTGTCTTCTGTTTCTTCTGTGGGGCAGCTGGAATGAACTAGGCAAGTTAATTCATTTTGTTGTGGCTGGCATGCCCACTGCGGGAACTTGCCACATAGTTGATAGTCTGTTCTGCTGGCCCATCTCGTGAAATGAGTGCCCAATCCTACACAGGGCTCCCCTCTTCCTTAATCAGCAACAGATTCATGGGTTGATGGGTTCTCTTTTATCCAACCTGTCTGTTATTTTCAGCTATGCAAGCTCTGAGGGACAGGAGCTCCTTTGAAATGTGAAGCCCTGTGAAGCCCAGCTGTTGCCAAGTCTTGTCTAACGTTGCTTCTGCACTCAGACTTCTACTGCTTGTGTCCCTGCCTTACTGTGGCTAGTAGTGTGACCTTCCTGTCCAGCTGGAGATGTTCTGGTCCATGAATAAGCAGGTCTCTATTTTCCCAGCATAAGCAAACCACTATATTAAGTTTACCAGAATAACAGCGGCAGGAGTTTAAGCAAAGAAGAATCAGGATTTATTGATGCTTCTGTGAATGCTGGAACACTAGAGTAACTTTCAGTAAAGCTTTGTGTATTTTAGGAGTTGAGAAGCAGGGATTAGGTCATTGTGCAGCTGATATAACTTATTTTAGAGACTTACTATGGAGACTTGGAGACTCTTTCGGAGTTAGAAGATTTGAAACATATATGCAACAGGATTATTTCTGCTAAAAGTGCACCTTATAACTAGCACTAGAGTTGGGAATTCATCAGAAATCCATGGCATTGGAGTGACAGAAATTGGTCCTGATGATATGTGCTAGTGTGCTACCAGTGTTGCCTGGAGCTGAACAGCAGAAATTGCTACCTGTTGTCTTTGTTTCTGTGCTTGTTGCTTACAATCTTCTTTCATAAGAGTGTGATTAATATTTATGAAATAGCTACCTGTATCATAAACCTTACTGTACATCTGTCCTCATAAATATCATCTGCCACTTAAGTATTACTGAGTTCCCATTTCATTTAAGTGTTAATTTAGTAGCATTCAGGTTTTGTTCTTGTGTGACTATCACCCCTTTTCTCTTGAGCTGGAAGTTTTATTGAGCTAACCTGTTTTGTGTCACAGCCTTACACTGAGGTGTCTTAAATTGGAACAGATATTTTTTCTCTATTGGTTTAGAATGGGGAAACTCCATTTTACTTGTCTGTTGAAGGAGGCCATGAAAAATGTGCTGAGCTCTTGCTGGAAGCAGGGAGTGACATCAATGTTCTAACTCAAGTACGTACATAATATCCCACCAGCACACAGGTACTGGGACATCCTGGCCTTTGGGAAGGACCTTCTCTTGTCTGTTCTGTGTGTGCTAACAGTATATTTACTCTTATTATTTTTATGAAATAGTAAAAAAATAAATTAATTAATAACATTAACAATTGGGGATGTAAAGAGTGCTAACAGAATAAAACTGATGTGGAAGAAATATAGCATAGATTTATTTTATGGAGTACTGAGGTGGAGATTTTTTATTTACTGTACATCCAATAGTACAACACGTGACTAGGAAATGTAACCAGCTAGGGTAATTGAAAATCCTCCTTTTTGGCAGCATATATGACTGAGCTGGTGGCAAGCCTGTTCTCCACATCTGGTTCCTGGACTTTAGTCCAGCTCACACCTGTTGAATGGTGTTAGCTTGCCTGCTGAGAGAAATTTATGATTCCAGCAGACTGAGAGCTTGTTTGCCTTAGCAGAATTAACTGAAAATTTTCTACTGGTTTATTTTTTAAAGTTTGTTAATGTGACTGTACTTGCTTGTTAAAGGTCAAACTGAAGAAACAGATGAGGAGACATGCTGGCATTATCTTTGTCAATGGCACAGGATTGCTGACGATGCTGACTTACCAGTTTCTTGAAAGAGATTAAGAAGGACTACAGAATACTCTTGGTTTTAGCATGTTTATTGTGTTATAGTGAAAGTGGGAAGTTCCTTCAAGTATTTACAAAACCACCATCATGCTAACTACCACCAATCCACTTCAGTTTACTTCATTTTGTCAAAGGGAGTTTTCTGGGGAAGGGGGATAATAACACAAATTTAAATGAAAGATTATCCTATATTGATAGCTCTCTTTAGTACTGTTTTTCCAACAATGAAACCATAAGTTTTTGCTTTCTATACCATTTGTTTCAGAACAATAGCAGTGCTTTGCAGATTGCAATTCAGAATGGACATCTATCCTTGGTTACTTTTCTTATTGATAAGAATGTTGACTTGGTTCCTAAACCTGAGGTGAGTGTATATCACTAACTATTCTGTTGTTCAGCCTGTCCTGTCTTTTATGACCTTCCTTGGGAATTTAGGAGATTGACCAGTTCCTTACTTTTTTACTATACACATTATTATGTGTTTTATGGATGTTGGTTAGCAATATGTATGGACCAAAATAGACAAGGTCCTGTCGCACAAACCCAGCGAGCACCTGGTCAGGTTGATGTAGTGCAGTGTAGAGGTGGCCAGGCTAAGCCAAGGACCAGGCATTAAGAGAAGATGAGTGATGTACCCTGCTTGAACTAAACAGCAGTAATGCAGGCCTCCCTGTGTGCCATGGGCAGAGTTAACACTTGTAGTTGATTTAGAATGAAGGTAAATACAAGGTAAATATTTCAGTGCTTTCACCCTCTGCACTCAAAGCATTTGCCTACAAAATCTACCACTATTCTTAGTGGTTTAAAAAGGAAGAGGTATTTCTAGTATTAAAATCTTGTCTCTATTTAGATGTTTTTGTTACATCTGAGATTCTCTGTGTATAGGAAATTAATTTCTGCTTCTACAGTACAAGATGAAAATAGCACCTGGGCTTCATGACTTACGCCACGATCACTGGCCTGTTGTGTAATGTTATCAAGGAAGAACAATTTATGATGTGCTTGCAATTCTTTATTTGAAGATGAGGTAGTTGTTGTGCTGTCTGTTCTTTTTGGATTTCCGTAGTAGAAGCAACTCATAAAATTGTAACTTATATTTTGGAAACATTTCGGAAACATTTCCAGTGCAGCGTTGCATAAAAGCTTGCTTTATTTTTCTGTAGCCTGAAGAAATGGTTGTGGTTTATAAAGACACTAAGGAACTGGTGTCTGGCACCCATCAGTGACGCTGGTATGGGATTATTCTTTAGCTGTATTTAACAAGAAACTGACAACTCACAGGTTCAACATACAAAGTGGTCTTGCCAATTTAATGCCTGGATTGTGGCTGGTGGTGTATTTGTGTCCCAGTTATTCTAATAATAATGTCTCAAAGAAAAAAAAAAACAAATTAATTTCTTTCTAGCTATAATTTGCTTTGAATAAATATGACAGCAAATCAGTTTCATATGAATAATATTTCCAGCAGCAATATGTGACAAGAGTTTATTCCCGGAAAGTAGATTTTGACATCTGTTTACCCAACAGAGAATTAATCTGCCTCCAGCCTATTCAACTGAGGGCAAACCCAGTTTTCTGAGGGAACAGAAATATTGTCCTAAGCTCTCTATTGTCAGCCAAGAGGAGCAGTATATCCAAGGTATGAATACATCAGAGGAGTGCCTTGCTGTGTTCCTAAGCGGTGACACACTGATACTCAGCCCGTGCACTCAGCATTTCCAGGTCCCTCGGTTAGTATTTGCTTACCCACTGCTGAGGTGTTGCAGGAGCAGGCTACCATGCCTGTCTTAACTCCACACATCAAGGTGTGTGTTCTACATTCTGGAACCTCTGCTAGAGCATATTGCCTTTCCAAGGGGTGAGTTTTAACAAAAACCTCTATCTTGTTTAAAATGGACGTCTAACAATGTACCAAGTGTAATAGTTTATTATTTTCCCTCCACAGCAGAAGAATTCCCCTCTCCATTTAGCAGTCACCAATAATCATCTACCAGTAGTAAAAAGCCTCTTGGATGCCAATCATGATATAAACTTCTTAAATCACGTAAGAAAAGCTGGGAATTAACATAACTTCACTGCTAACAAGGAGATTATGTGGATTTTGCTTGAAATACTTTTTTTTCTTTTTTTTCTCTCATGAGCTCAGGGTACAAAAAATTAGGAAGGAAGAGGCAGTTCTCTCATTTTTTTGTGTGTGTGCGTATGTATTAGTCACTGGTACATGCTGTGCTAGTATTGTTTCTGCAAGATAAGGATAGCAAAATGCTATATACCCAGAAAATACTTGGGTTAATTTATTATTCAAGTGTTACAATTCATGCGTAATAAACGACAGAAACGTCTCAAGGGTATTGATCTCAGATGGAAACCCAGTACAGAGGGTCACTTGGCTGGGATGGAGTTAATTTTTTTAATAGCAACCCATAGTGTGCGCATAGTGTTTCAGGTTTGTGACCAAAACAGTGCTGGTAAGGCAGAGTGTTTCAGCTGTTACTGAACTGTGCTTCCACAGTATCAAGGCCTTCTCTGTTTCACACTCTGCTTCACTCTGGGAGTAGTCTGGGGTTGGGCAAGAGGCTGGGAGGGGACACAACCAAGCAGATGACCAGAGCTGCTCCACACAACACAACCTCACACTGAATGATGAGGTCACAGGTGAATGGTGGAATCGATCAGTGCATTTGGATGGTAACTGAAAGTTTATGGCTTGATCCCACCCAGGGACACCAGCACCTGTTTTCTCCACCTTTACCAGCAACATTTTGTTTCTGCTTGGTACCAGTGGTCTTTGGAGGCCTAGCTGGCTGGTGTATCACTTTGGCTTTGCCCAGGAAATCCGTGATAAAAGCACTGGCTTTGAGCCTAATCTAGTATTTTTTTGCCTTTTGCTGCTGCTACCCAGGTACTCAGAGAACCTTCTCTTGGAGAAAATCAGCAATTACACCTTCTCCCTTTTCTCCTTGGAGAGATGCTTTGTGGAGAAAGGAATGAATGGCACCTACCCCTTCTTCTCTTCCAGGACAGGTCTCTCCCACCTTCTTGTAGTGGCTACTCAGTTCTTTCAATATCCTTGTGTAATCAGACTGTTCATGCTAGTGTGTGTTGTGAGCCTGATTTTGACTTTTGTTTGTACTGTTCATCAGTTGTTTAACTAACTGGGAATGGTACACAGGAATGTGCCCAAAGGCAGTCAATCCTAGTGTGTCAGGGCGTGTGGAAGGAGTTGGGCATGTGCCTGGAACTGTTATCACCTTCAACAGCTTGGGATTTCATGCTGGAACAGGAATGTAGTCCCAGGTAATTGGTACAGTATTTGGAGGAGGGGAGCCTTATGTGTCCCATTGAAACACAGTGACTTCTAATGCTCTGTTGGGGCCTGCCCCGTGCCTACTGAGCTGCCATCCAGTGCCCTCAAAAGAGAAGGAGGGTCACCTGATCAAGGAGTACACAAAGGGACACTGAGAAGGTCTCCTACTCTGAAGCCACCCATACAGGCACTGGAGGTCACTCAGTCTGAGGGCACACACAGTATCTTAACCAGAGATACAGTCTTCAAATAGTTGCTCTTGTACTCAAGATGAAATGGTGGAATCAGATGTCGACTTGGTTAGTAAGAGAAGCAGCAACTCCTGCTGAGGAGTGGGAAGGGGAAGAGCTAGAAGAGGCAGCCTGGCCTGCAGCAGGACAGGAGAAGGTAAAGGCAGGAATGACAAAAGAGGCAGGAACTACCTGGTCCCCTTCCCTGGATGACCTATGAGATAGGCAGCAAGTATTCACCCATCAGCAGGGTGAGTCTATCGCTACCTCTTTGCTCCAGTGTTTGGAAGGTAGGGAAGCCCAGCAGCCCGGGTTCATCTTTAGGGACTACGGAATTAACAAAGGGATCAGAAGAGAGGCAATCACCTGTGAATCTCTGGAGATGGCTCTTTCTGAGTGCAAATGCAAGGTAGCTCCTCAAAGAAGGTATTGTAAACCAGCAAGGCAGGTAGACTACCACGAAAGAAGGTATCCAGTATATGAGGGAGTTAATGGTGGTGGAGGTGGTTTACAGCAACCTGGTCAACAACCTGGCCTCCAAAGATCTGGATGATATCCAGGGCTCATGGCCAGTGGCAGAAGTTTGTACAGAGATTGTGGATGTTGTACACTAGTGCCCTGGCCACAATGGACTGGGCAGACACTGATGCACTAGCTGTGTATAGACCAGCCTGTCAGCTGTGGCCCTTCAAAGAGAATGTCTCTTCCCCCTCCCCATCCACCCTACATCTCAGCTGTGGAAAGACTGTCCCACCAGGTCTCTCAAGTCCCACATTGCACACTGTGGCTCCCTGTTGGGGAAATGCACCCTGGGCTCCCTGCCACATGTCATGTGGGGATGCTCCCCACAATAGTAAGAAGGACTAGTCTTTGCGAAATCTGTAGTTTGCCTCTTCCCATTGATCTTTTTATTGCTAAAGGTTAATTTGTACACATTTTAGTAGCAGACAGAGGCTGTAATTCATGGCTGGAGTCAAGTATGACAATAACCTCTTCTGTCACATAAAATGGAGAACTTTGTTCTTGAACACATCGTTTAGAAATGTTCCGTGCTTTGTCCCTAGCATGTCTGAAGTTACATACATTAGCTACACACATATCTCTAAATTACTGTAGCAAAGAAAGTAGGATGTATTGTTGCGGGAAATTTATGAGGTCATGTGGTCACAGTGTGTATTCCCAAAAGAGCTAATGAGAGACTCCAAGGCAGAGCCCTGAGCCTGATGTTTCTTGGTATGTAAGGTCTTGGTGTTTGACTCTGCAAACTTTAAGTCAAGATTTAAAGACCAAAAAAGTTATTAGACCTGCAGAATGTGGACTTGCAACATCAGAGAAGCTCAGGCACAAAACCTTCAACTTAAAAGGATGCTGTATCACATGAAGCATGCTCCAGGACATGTCCAAAGATACGCAGGGCTTCCACACATGGCAATATATCTTATTAGCTGCTGCATTACACCCACAGATGACTGGAATTTCTTACTCTAATATTCTGCAGAAGGATAAATAAATAAATAGGTTCCATTTGGGTGCATGCTACTGGGTGGTGACTACACAACCCTCATTTCAGACCTGAAGATTAGACTTGAAGCTGAATGCCCCTTTCTGTATTTCTGCATTCTTGTTAATCATGTGGTTGTTTAATCCTTTTTTTTTTTTTTTTGTTCTTTTTTTGTGTCTGTGTGTGTGGTTTAAGGTTCACTGAACCCATTATGGAGCTGTTAGGCATCTGCTATGTATCATCATTTTGTGGTAGTGCTGGCTAACAAACCCTGTTGTAGTGTTGAAAATGGTGGATGTCCAGTTGTCTTTGCATTAATTTAAGTTGGGAAGAGGTTACTCAAGAGGATAGTATGGGTGGGGGTTGGCAGCTGCATGAAGCACTCTGTCCAAAACACCTCGTTTTAAGAGGGAAGAGAGAGAGCTTGTTAAATTACAGTACCTTACAGGGGTATGACAGTGACTTTTTCCTGAGCCAGCTGGAAATCCTGCCTGGTTTCCCTGCAGAGATCCCAGATGCTGTCTTATTTGTCTGGAACAGAACTGGCAGGTAGATCATTCAGAAGTGAAATTACTTTGTTCTGTTCAGTGTTTTCTTTCCAAGGCCATCTCATGTTGTGAATCTTCTTCAGATTCAGATTATGAGCACTCTGTTTCTAAGAGGGAATTTGGCTTATTGTATTTATTTGGTGTCATTAATTGCAGAGGCAGGAAACTCCTCTACATCTGGCAGCTGATCTTGGCAACATGGAGCTGGTGGAAGTGCTGCTGAAGGCAGGCTGCAATCTCAGGGCTGTGGATAAGGTAGATTGCATTTCCCACACATGCAAGGAGTATGTGATTTTATGTTTTGTATTATAACCTTCTCAGAGATGCAGAAAGCACTTGCTGGCAGTCGTCTTTCCTAGGTAAAACTGTTAGTTGTTAAAAAGGAAATCTCCTTTTTATATTGCCTTATGCAGCTTGCAGAGATCTGAAATGGTTTTAGTGAAAAGCTTCCAAGCTTCATAGTTTAAAGGGTACACCCTACTGCCAGAGACCTCTGCTGGAAAAAAGGACTAGGCTTATGGAGTGGAAAACAGCCTGTGGCTGTTGTAACTGTGTGCCCACAGCGTTTGTTGCCAGGAGAGGCACAGGTGCTGCCAGCTTCACTAACTGCAGTAATGGCGAGTTTCCCTTTACCACTGCAGACCATCTGGAAATGATGGTGCTGTGTCCCTGAGAAGACATCCCAGGTCTGCTCAAGCAGGTGCTTAGATGCTCTTGCTGATGTTCAGCCTGGAAAGACTGAGGCAAGAATGGCAAAGGCTGGAAGAAGTGCCAAAGCAAAGAGCCTCTGTGGAAGTGCTTTTGAAAGGACAAAGCACCAAATCCAGCTTTTACAAATTCTGCCAAATTACTGCAAGACTGAGCTTCCCCTTTTTTGTTCTGTTACCACTACACTGATTTTCTGTGTAACTGGATTTACAGATTTAGTGTTTATCATGAGCAAAATCTAGCTCTTTAGTAATTTATAAAAGTAATTTTCATGCACAAAACTGTCCTGATGAGGAGGGAAGCTTTATAGACAAGGATCATCACATGGGGCCCAAGGACCTGAGTGCAGATGACACGGTTGATGTGTTTTGGGAGTCTGAGGTAAGATGCTGCATTGTTAAGCTTTGACAGTTATGCCTAACTGTTATGCCTTAACAGTTAAGCCTTCCCACTCAGAGTCGTGCCTACACTAGTTTATGAGCTGCAGTTCTCATATGGGCTAACCCTGAAGGAAATCTTGTCCACTTTACTTAGTGCCTTTGCCATGGGAAAATTGTTTCCACCTGGTTGTATTCCAAGGACAGGCACAGAAATTTACTTCTTACCGCCTGTTTTGACCTTAAGCACCCGCAAGCCCCAGTATTACAGCAAGCTGACATTGTTCAGGGCATGTCATGAGAACGTGGTTCTGAGGCAGCACAAGTTCTGCCACCTTTCTGCCCTGGTTTTATTTCTAGGAATAGCTTGTCCCTTGCCTCTTTGCTGGATGACCCCTGAGGACATGCCACCGCTGGGAACATTTGAAAGTTCAGCTCTCTTTGAGCCAAATTGCTGCTGAGGTGCCAAAAACGTTCCCATCCTCACTAAACAGTAGGCAGGAAAAGGGGAGCCAGCTTTGACTGCATTCCTGGCCTGCGTTCCCTGGCAGCAAGAGTCCTCAGGTCTCCAGAGCATGTCATGCGTCTGCACGAGTCACGAGCTGTTACAGTTAAAGAAATGCTCCCTGGGAGCTCTTCCTTCCTGCCTCCCATCTGCAGAGATAATGGTTGTTGGTTGTCATTGATAGTGCAGAGACTTGTGCGCATGATCTAGTATGCAAGACCGCCATGCCACATGTGCAGCAGGATGCCAGCAGTGCCTGCACTAGCACAGGAGGCCAGAAACAACCCCTCTTCCCACCCCCTTCACCTCCCTGGGAAAGTGCAGAGCACCTTTCCAGGGCTGGGACCCAAGGAGCTCTTGTGGTTTCTGGACTCTTCACATACAAAGTATGTCTATGCTATAAAAAATCTATGAAATGTAAATTCCTTGGTTTCCAATGTGATACTTTTCTAAAAACAGGCTAATTAGAATGATCTTGAGCAAAGCCTGGAGCTGGAACTCAAAAGGGAACTTCGTAATAGCTGGAAAGTTGAAATGCTTTATAATTTAATTACTAAACCTTTTAAGGGTTTGGCTTCTTTGAGGTGTAATTTTCTAGAATGCCTATCACTTGATGTGGGGAAAATAACCTGAATGCTTAAATCTGAGGCAGTTCCACTAGTGCAAATTGGCTGAAAGTAGACAATTGCAGAGAGAAGTGGGCAGTTGCAGTCCTCTGCAGCTAGAATTAAAGCAATGGCTTTTAATTCCTTTGGCTGCCTGTACTACTTGTAAAACATCTGTTTGCTGAAACATTCAGTGTCCTCACTTCAGTTGTCACAAGAAAGGAATCCCCACACTCTCTTTCCATTCTGTGAACCAGTTTCTCTTACCATCTGAAACAAGACAGGTTTGCCCTGAAAGGTGGAGGTTTCCAACCTTGCTGGCCTACCCACCTGAAATGCCTGTCTAGCCATCATGTGGGAATAGACTCTGTGTGTAGTATTTCTCAGCCTGTGGGTGCCTGGGCTTGCAGCAGGCACTTGGAAGCAGTGACTGGGAAGCCACAAGCTGGTATGAAGTACACAGCAGCCTGAGTGCAGGATGTTTCTGAGAGCAGCTGTACCTCAACAGAAATTCTGTAGAGGTAGTTCAATGCCAGAAAAAATGGACCACTCTGGGCTGGGGGATACAGCTCCTGCAAAGCACAGAACTTTGACTGTAGCTACCCTGAAGCCATAAAACTGTAGCAGTACATTTTCTTGAGAAGAAGGGGTACGGCTCTGTAAACAAACCTCCTATTTCTTCTATCATATACTTACCTTCATGTGTAAGAGATAATGTTCTGATTCACTGTTTCCGCTTTTAGCATGGAAAAACTGCACTAGCTGTGGCATCCAGGAGCAATCATGCCCTCATTGTAGATATGATCATTAAAGCAGAAAGGTATTATGCCATGAAACAGGTAAGAGATGCTTTTCATTACACTGAGGAGAACACTAAAGGAGTACAGCCGATTCTGATCCTGAAGTGCTTCTTGCCTGAGGTGGTTCCTTTTGGCAAGCTGCAAGACTGGCCTTGATAAATTGGTTTATGTGGACTCCACGTCATGGTTTTCATGCAATACAGTTTAAAATTCCTAAGCTCTCTCAGATACACTGTTCACAGACAGGTCCTGGTGAGGCAGTAAAAGACATCTCTTCTAGCATCCACCCTAAAACCTGCAAGAAAGAAGATGCTAACACAATTTATCTATGTCAAGCAAGTAAATCTGTGAGCACCAGAGCTAGCAAACCAGGGCAAAAGGACTAGCGAAAGGAATTCACTTGACTGTCAGCTCTTGAGCTTTGTTGCTGAGCTGCCACACAAATATCTGACTTCATCATCACTCCTGCTTACTGCCAGGGAATGTTTGTGGTACCAGGTTAGCCAGGTGCCTCCCGCACTTGGATGGTATAAGCATACAGATCCTGCCTGAGTGCCTGCACATGAATTAGCCATTTTTACCACCCCACTTCATCCCTACGTGTCCAGATCAGTGACACTTTATGTTACAGGGTAGTGTGCTGGTAAATCACAGATCTAGATTGATTACAATGAAAAACACCTCCACAAACTCCGTGTCTTGTACATATTTGATTTGCACCAGTTCAGCTGGAGTTGTCAGGTGCATTACTGTTTCTTTTGGCTTAAAGAGGGAATTAGAAGTAATCAGATGCCGAAGAAGACATAACAAGCCTGACAGCAGTGAGCCCTTAATGCTCCTAACTCTTTGCATTGTTTATTGAATTGCCTGAGGAGAAGAGAAGATATTTAAGCAGATGGTCTTCCTCAAGAGCTCTGCAGATGTTGAGAATAGAAACAAAAGTATCTGTGTCCCATTACTATGAGCACAGCCTTTTGGAGCTGCTTAGATCTTACAGTTATGGAATATGACGTTGCTCAGGTGGCTTTACCATATAAGAAACTAGAGTGTTTTGAACCATTATTTTGAGAACTTTTTGTTACATTAAACTGACTTATATCTGTGACAAGGCATTAGTTACAAAAGGAAATGTCACATTGCTGTGAGGAAGTGCACCATACTAATGTGTGGGAGTGCCTTGTTCTCTCCATTTGCCCTTTTTCCATTTGTTTGCCTGTAAGTTTTTTGTTGCTTTCGTTTTTTTAAACCTCAGAAGAGAAACCCTGAACCAGGGAGAGCCTGAAGCTGTCTGGTAGAATGCCCTGAACCTCACTGTGCATGTATCAGGAAGCTTGCAATAGAGTTTGCATTAGAAAAATGGAATCAAACGTACATGACAAAGCTTGGTTACTGAATTAAGATTATTTTTTCTTGCAAGACTCTCACAAGGTTAGGAAAAAACCCTGTTGTATTTTTCTGAATTTATTCTGGAATGGAATATTTTATGCTTAGCACTTTAAAATGTGGCATGCTGCCATTTCCTTTCTGCTTAGTATCTGCTTTGTAATCCTGTACCAACTTCCTGAAGACATTTTTCACTTTGGACACTGGAACAAGACTAGCACATAAACAAAAAGAAATACAAAAGTAGTTTGAGCTTACCTGCACTAGGAATGAGACTTTCCCCTGGGCACTGCTCAGCTAAGGCTGAAATCACTGCTAGATTTTAAATACCGCTTTTGCAGAGGTGCCCAAACAAGAAGCACCCTCATCGCTCCTGTATCATGCATATGGTAGCAACATCACCCTTCATTTGGAGGCTGCTTGTGGTTATGGCTTCTAATTTTGCTTATGCTGGCAGTAAAACTAGATCCAGGTTCAATCCACACGTGCTTACTGGTGCTTGGATGCTTTGCTGAATGGGGCTCCACGCGCTAAACTCAATGGCTCACACTGCCACCAAATGACTTGGTAGTCCCCGCTTCAGGCAAGCTGAGCTGATGGGCAGAGGGAGAACAGCCTGAGCAGCACCATGCTGATAGTGCCTAGCCTCTTCTCAGGGAGAGGGCAACACTTCTTGAAGCAACAAAAAAGAGTAAGAACTGTGCTTGAAACCCAACCATGTTCAAAACATGGCATACAAAGTAGACAGAGCAAATGAGCACAGCAGTACTGGCATGGTACTTGCTGTTACCTGGCATAGTGTTATCAAGCGCTAGAGAAAGGAAGTAGTTTATTTTGCATTTTACTTAATATGACATAGCAATAGACACAGGAGGGATTTGTTTCCATTATATTACTCAGACTGTAATAGTATCATCAATACTGACACATCTTCCAAAAAAGCTCAACCAGCCAAACACAGCTCCTTTACCTGCACTGAACAAATCACCTGTCAGCAGCTACATGGGGCTGTACAGGACATAGTGTTCACTGCTTGCTAAGTGAAGTTCCCAGCTTCATTACAACATTTATCATCTGCTTTCTTCTTCAGGAACATCTAGCTCATAGTGATGATAGGTCAGACTTCAGCCTGTCCTTCAAACAAGATCATAGTACACAGACCAAGCAGATCCGTTTCTCCCTTTGGAATCTAGCATATAACCAGTTAAACCCCCAGGAATGGAAAAAACTGGCTGTGTTCTGGAAGTTCACGGGTGAACAAATTAGAGCTATTGAAGAACAATGGACAGGTAACAATATCTGAACAGCTAGACATAATATGTAAGCTACAAAAACGACAAGGCAGAATGACGTTTTAAACTATGTATCAGATAGATACACACTGGCCATACTGCTCTTCCTCACATCATGAATAAGAGCAGAGAGTGGGTACAAGCCTTGTCCCTGGTTCCTGGGTAGCAGTGCAGGCCACATCTGTTCTCCGTCTTGGCCTGAAGGAACCTTCATCTTTGGAAATCAAAAACAGGAACAGTGAGTGGCATGGAAGGGTCTTGAATGTCACGCTGCAAGTGAGGACCTAGGGAACCTCGTGACACAGGAAGACCTTGTTCATGCCCTGTCTTGACAGCTGCCACGGAACAGCACTTTTTGGTTTCAGGCCTCTCAAGTGCTGGGAAAGCCATATTTCTACAGCATGTGTTGTATTTGCTTACTACTCCTCCACAGTATATTCCACACATTGAAGAAAAATGAAAGGAAGAAATCATATTAAGATGTTTTAGCTTTTTCCTCCCCTCACAGTAGCCTTAGAATAAAACTATAACTTGTTTGTTTGTTTGCTTTTTGAACTTTGTAAGCCTCAGTCTTCATTTTGCTTTTAGGCGAGAAATAGTTTAATGAGTAGATTTTAAAACCTGTTGGAACTCTTCAAGTACAAAAGCACAAAATATCCTGTTTCTAGCATATGGAACAGATAAATGCTTTGTGTATTGCACAGGGAAAAAAAGTTACAAGGAACATGGAAATAGAATGTTGCTCATCTGGTTACACGGTATGCTGCTGGCTCATCAGAATCCTGTCAAGCACATATACAAAGATCTGGTGGAAGCAGGATTTCAGCCTTTAGCTGGTAAGTTGTTACACTGTCTTCTGCCAGGCTGCAGTGCAGTGCAGTGCAGAGGCGCCTGCTGCTTCTGGGAATGTGTAACTGTGGCAGAGCTGGACAGTCTTCCTTTCTGGGACTATGCCCTTGCTGGGGGGGTGACATTCCCTGAGGAAGAGCATTCAAGCAAGACTTGTGATTTCTGAAGACAAAGATGTGTAAACTTTGCTTCCTTCCTTTGTCCTGCAAGCAAATGGGATTGGCTATTCCTTAGTTAGGTCAGTCTGACCATGCGACACGCAGAGCAAGTCAACCGAGTGTTTTCTCCTCTTACTTTACAGAGAACATCAGAGCTGCAAGTAGCACTGGCATGGACTCGAGAAAATGTGCTGTTTCATGAGTTCATCAGCAGAACATGGCGTATCTGATGGATGTACATGCCAGATGGAAAGTGACTTTCAAACACAAATAGTATCTTTCCTGGAAACAAAAACCTATTTTGAAATTGTATGACTTTTCCCAAGCTAGAAGAACTTGCACTCCTGAAATATTGGTTAGTTCTTGCATAAACTTGCTATACAATGATTCAAAGAATTAAAGAGTGAATGGCTGGCAATGTATTACTATACTGATAAGCAAGAACTGCACTCCTCTGTCTCCCCCTCAGTTTCTACACCTGGCTTAACACTGATACACTAATTCTGTATTAGAACTGCAAATTAAGCTATTTTGTGTTTGACGTGAAATGTAAATGAGATGTTTTCTACCTGAATAAAATTAAATTTAATAAGTGAAAATTATGTGTATAAATCAACACTTCCAGAAATAGGTTGGCACCTGGCCTCATTTGAGATTCAGGTTTATATAAAGTCTTGCTAGGATTATAGTGTTCCTGTCAGGCTTTTCTCTTGTTTAAGTAGTGCTACGATTAGGACAAGTCTTCCTTCTTCAGCAGTTGATTTATCTAGTGAAAATACACAAAAATATCATATTTAAAACCATGTGTGGCTGGCCTATCATGCATAACCTTGAATACATACCCCAAAAAGAACATTTTATATTTAATACATCTAGCAATTATTTACCTATTCCTTGTTCATGTCTTGAATTAAGACTTGGTAGTGTCTTGCTGAAAATGTTTAAATTTCTGAATATATTACTGAATATATTTCGTATCTGAGAAATTATATAGCATGTCTCTCTATGTAGTCTTCTCTCATAAAACAGTAATAGTTTTATCATGTAATGGAAGAATTGGATTGCCTTGTCTGTGTTAATATAGCTAGCAATATTTCATATTGAATCTTACTGTTTGTACTAAAAAGATAATGATTTGTGTCTTAGTCTGAAATAGTATGCCTGACTGCCCTCTTGTGTGCAGCCTGTTTTGACATGGCTGCAGAGCATCAGAGGAATATGAAGGAGACTGGTATTAGAGATCTAAGATCACAAATTCTTAGATCCTGACAGGTATGCATCAAGTTACATTAGCTTGGAAAATGAGAATGTTTAACAGTCTGATGGACTCAGCACCTCACCTGGCCCAAGTCGCACCCTGGATATGAAGTATACCACCTTCATTTATGTATGCTGCTGTAGGACATAATTAAAATGTACATCAACTACACTTAGTTGCACTGGCAACTAAAAAAAAAGCATATATAACAAAAATACATTTAATTTTCACTTGAAAAATATATGTTAGTAACACTGGGACTGAACAAAGAGATTCAGACAAAAATTGCATTCTATCCTTTATTTAAAAGTGTGCAAAAGATACCTTAAATAGAAAGTGTTTATCATAATAAAATAAGTTCTCAAATAGTTTGGAGGTAGAACAACATTTCAAGTTCTTTTTATCCCCTCCAGATGTTTACAATAAAAGCACTTTTACTTTAAAAAATATTTTTTAAAAAGGATAAAAACATGATGCATATTTTAGGCCTTGATACATCAAAATTGAAAAGACTGGAAAGAGGTTTAAATTGTACCTTGATAAAAACCCCCACCGGTGAGAAAGTTACTCACTCAGTCAACAACTTTTATTGACTGAACACTGGTATGAGTTTGGCCCTGAAGTATTTGCCCAACTTGTCCCACAGGTATCACAGTGGTTGAGCCGGAAGAATGGAGCACAGTTCGAGGATATTTAGCAGCAGTGGCTTGAGATATGGTTTGCTGAAAAGTAATCACATACATCAAAACATTTAACAGTACAAAGAATTCTACCTTACAATAGCTCTAAGTGAGCTGTAGTTTAAACAGAAAGATTGAGAACCCAGCAAACTGAAATACACGTAAATAGAAGTTAATGAGTAATTTTTTTCTTCCTCATCTGTAATACACTTTTTAGAACATAAAATGCTAATAAAACACTAAACATCCAGTTAACTAAGTGCCTGAGCTTTTATCACTTCAATCTTATTTCCAAGTTGGTTGGTTTGGTTTTTTACCAAATTGTTCAGAATTTTCCTCTGTAGTGCTAATTTAATTATGCCAACTTTCCTTCTGAAGTTCAGTATTTGCTATGAGGAAGTCTCTGAAAGGTCTCTGGTCTCTGAAAGGAAAAGGTTTGCATTTATTTAACAATTGATTTTCTCTCCCCAAAAAAACAGCTACCTTACTGCAATAAACAGTAGCCATTCTGCTTTTAATCAAGGTAAACTCTCTCCCTTGTCAGAATAATCCAAGAGAAGTATTTCAATCTGATTGACTTCCACCACTTAGGCATTCCTTTGCAGGAAAAGCATATGGAATATCTCTCTGGGACTGTCACATTTGTCACATTTTTAGAAGTCAGTTTTTGGTACAGTAGTTCAGGTACTTCACTTGTCACACTAGTCACACAGTTTGAATTTAGAAATTGTTCCTGGTGAAAGAATTCTCACACCAAACCTCTAACCCCTAAGGGCATGGAATTTAGATGGAATTTCTGCTTAGGAGCCCAACTTCTTGAAAGCTATGTGCAGCTCCTTACAAGGCCCTGATTCACTGAAGGAAATGAGCAAAAGCAGAACATTCCTCCCACAGTTACCAGTAACTCCAGCTCAAATAAAGGGATCTGATGTAAATCTGCTTCTTCTGACAGTAACACAGAAGAGAAACTGGGCTTTCAGATAACACACAGAAAACTAAGATCCTACTTTACAGGCTAAAATATATAAAAAGCAGTCAACTGTCTCATACACCTCCAGCAGAAACAATCTTTTGCTTAGATTGGTCTAAAAGTGTAGCGACTGCCAGGCCACACAGGCCACTATTTACAATCTTCTTGTATGTTGCTTTCATACCCTACTAATGCACTTATTTCAGTGTTTTCTTCAGGATAAATGGGAAGAGTAGGACTCAAAACACAACACGCAGCAGGCTTGATGAATCTGATTGCCTCTGGACAACAGGTTTACTTCCCCCTCCCCCAATAATTTGGTACACTTAGCCTGACCTATAGCCTGTCAGGCTAATCTGTATCTCTGCCACCTCTGGTCAGTCACTCTTCCTGCCATACACCACAAAGCTTGTCTTTAAACTGTGATTGCATGGTGATGACACCAAACATTGCTGTACCAACTGACCATTTCTACAAAGAGGAAGACTCACAGAAGAGCTGGGAAAGAAAGAGACAGCCAATACTGCTACTGTGAAATAATTACTACAGAAACAAGACAAGTACATTAAAATGGCAATACTTACTTCCTCTCTTCACCTGTGCCTTCTACCCAGCCCAAAGATAGTACTGTTTGTTATTCTGAACAGGCCTCTAGTCTAAGCCTTGTCTAATACCACCTCACAATGGTAATTTTTCTTCAAAATACTACCAGATGCGTGGTTTTAAGAACACTGTTACAAGCATAATTCTGACTTACCTGAGTGACTGGGTGATGTTTTTCAACAATGACTGAACTAATGGGCGGAGCAACTCCCATCACTGCTAAACTACCATAAATTCTGGCTTTTTGTCCCGTATCAGCTCGGCCCGTGATTCGAGCAGTGATTGTTCTTCCTGCTTTCTGTTGAGCAGATGTTATTACTTTTGCCATGGGCTAGAAATAAATGAAGTATTGGTTGGTAAAAATCTAAACATATCTGTAGTGCTCTAATATGTCTGCTTAGTTTTATCAGCTACACACCTAAACAGAACACAGGATGTTGCAAGTAATCCAGTTACGTTATACAGGACTGAATTTGCTCCACCTAGTTGCAACCTGGTTTATTCCATCTTTTTCCACTATGAGATTGTGTTTTGAGCTGTCCTGAGGGAAGTAAGGCTAATTTGACAAAACTCAAACAGTTCAGGTTTTTCAATGGCTGCATACTCGAGTGACAGCTGCAGGCACTTCCATTATCCTAGACAGACTTTCTAGCAGTGACACAGGAAGACAAAAAAAGCTTCCAAGCAGTAAAATGCTGCATCTTTCTCTGACAGCGTGTAGCAAACTGTACCAGATGGGAAAAGGAAAGCAGGGCAATGCAGAAGACAGTGGAGAAAAGCAAAAAGGACAGTTCAGCAACAAATACATAACAGGGAATGAGAGACATTCCAAAGAGCAGGATACTAAAGCAAAGCATATTCTTTCTGTAACAAAATGGTATCAAGTGAAACATTAATTGTTCTTGTTGTGCTGTATGTAAGTGTGCACGCACACTATCCCCTCCCTACTCCAAAAATCATTCAGAATTGCTCCTAACATAAATGGGTTTCTGTAACATTAATGAACATTTGCAAGCTATAGTGTCTTCACACAGCTATATTCACACAGCTAAGTAAACCCAACTACGTATGCAATTTCCTCAACTACATACTTGTCTTGCTCTGAAAAATGTGGAATAATGATACCCAAAAGTATTTGCTATAATTATGCTTTAAAAAATAAAAGAATTAATTTTAGCATGTTACCAGTTTTTGAGTTGATGCCACACCAGACACTGCAGCTGTGCTAGTGATGACTACTGGAGAATCAGAATCCAGCCTTGTCTGAGAAGTGCTTGCATGACCCAAGTGGGCAGAAAACTGTGAATGAAACCAGAGTTTACAAAGAATGAGTATAACTTTCTAGAAAATGCAATTTTACTCTTTAGACAGTCAATTTTTGACTAATCCAATTACTCTTCTAAATCTAACTTCTTTGCAGTTAGTTTTACTAACTAGTTTTATTGTTTTCTAGTTAATTTAAAAATACTTGTCTAAAAAATGTGGAAACAGTGCAAATAACATTTGATACTATTAGAAAGAAAAACCAGGAAAGAGGCAAGCACATCTTCTCTGCTCTAATCTGTATTCTAGTCTGAAATTGTTTTATGGTGGCAATGTCTTCAGGATGACTGCAGGGCAGGTCCAGAGCATCCAAGCTGCTGCATAATGATCTGGCTAAGCTGACATGACAGGACAATAAGCTGAGTTCT